GAGTTGCACTTTTGTCCTTTAATTATTTTTTTTTTTTACTTTTGGTACACTATCATTTTTTTTTTGGCAATTTTCGTCTAAATCGAGGTTCCGGTGCTCATTTTTGCCGGAAAAGTTGATGTGGCGCACAATCCGACTGGGCGCCACATCAACTTTCCGGCAAAAATAAGCACCGGAACCTCGATTTGGACGAAAATTGCCAAAAAAAAATGATAGTGTACCAAAAGTAAAAAAAAAAAATAATTAAAGGACGAAAGTGCAACTCAGGTATAATTAGTGGACGAATGGTGCAATTTTTCCTTTCCGGACATATATTTTTCATTAAAATTGAATGGCTGAATCTCATATAACATTCGAATAAACTTTAATACGCAATTAAAAAAAAAATTAAAAAAATCCGACAACGACGTGGTGGTGGTCCTCTTGGAGGTCGACACAACCTCCAATTGCTGCTAATTAACTTTTAAAATTTCTAAATTAGAGTTTCCGATTTCTTTATTTGTCAGAGAAATGGTATTCCGATCAATCACCACCACTGCCTTAACCAAATTGAAAAAATGTAGGATTTATGCTGATCGTCTTCGTATGTACTCTGGTGTTTCTTCTTCTATCCGTCCTTCTAACGGGGATCTCAGTCCTCGTATACGGCCACTTCCTCCTCTTATGCGGCCGTCGTTTGTTGATTGTGAGCGTAGCACTCCAGGAGAGCTTGGTACGAATTTGATGCAGGATAGCAAAAGCCTTAATCCCATGTTTATGTTGGTGCAGCATTTACGAGATGGATCCCGAGACTACTCTGCCGTCTCAATGCAAAACAACTCCTTCAAACCACTACAAACAGACGAAAATCATCTAATTCCCAACTTCTCCCGAATAACTAAAAACGCAGTCACTAGTATTGTAGCAACCTTCAACTCATGGTTGTTATTTTGTGCACAACTGAAAAGACGCGAAATTGTCACCTATCATCTGTGGAACCCTTCCACCGACGAGTTCAAAACCCTAGCCCCATTCGAAATCGAACCCCGTCTCCCTAACTTTCATTTCTGGGATCATATGCTTTGGGGTGTCGGATTTGATTCCTTATCTCAGGACCATAAGGTAGTCAGGGGTACAAGGATTGACTACTACGACACTAATGAGCACGATGAAGATGATCCACATTTTAGGCCCACTACAGACTGGTCGGAGTTTGAGGCTGAGGTGTTGTCCCTCAAAACCGGCGTGTGGAAGAGAATCCCATTTCCTCGTGAACCCATGTTCGTTGACTTTCACGGCTGTTCTATTCACATAAATGGTTTTGTTTATTGGATCGTTCGCTATAATCGTTATCTTATTATTCCGTTTGATATGGATAAGGAAGAGTTTCCTGCTGCTCTTATTCCTATGCCCGAGACGGATAAGCAAATAGTCGCTTGGAATAATGTTCTTGCTGAGTATCATGGATCGCTTGCGTTGATTGTCCACGATTATTGTTTTGATCTCAACAAAGTTCAATTTTCTGCCGAAATGAATCATCCTTTTGCCATGTCCCGGTTGCTAAGGGTATTACTAAGGTTATGGGCCTCTTCAATAATGATAAAGTGCTTCTTATCAACTCCAAGGGTGAGCTGCTGCTTTACGATCATGTGACCACTGACCTGGAGAATCTCGACTGCAGCCATGATCAGATTCTTGTGGCGAATATTTACCCTTATTATGCTAAGAGCACATAATTCCTAGCTCGTATGGAGGGCGTACGGTTTGGTGGCATCTTTATTTTATTTTAATTTTTTTTTTTTTTTCAAAAGGATGATTCATTTCGGCAGAAAATTGAACTTTGTTGAGATCAAAACAATAATCGTGGACAATCAACGCAAGCGATCCATGATACTCAGCAAGAACATTATTCCAAGCGACTATTTGCTTATCCGTCTCGGGCATTGGAATAAGAGCAGCAGGAAACTCGTCCTTATCCATATCAAACGGAATAATAACATAACGGTTATATCGGGCGATCCAATAAACAAAGCCGTTTATGTGAATAGAACAGCGATGAGAGACATGGAACATGGGTCCATGAGGAAATGCGATTCTCTTTCACACGCCGGTTTTGAGGGACAACACCTCAGCCTCAAACTCCGACCAGTCCGTAGTGGGATTAAAATAGGGATCATCTTCATTGTGCTCATTAGTGTCGTAGTAATCAATCCTTGTACCCCTGATGACCTTATGGTCCTGAGATGCAGAATCAAACCCGACACCCCAAAGCATATGATCCCAGTTATGAAAGTTAGGCAGGCGGGGTTCGATCTCAAATGGAGCAAGGGTTTTGAACTCGTCGGTCGAAGGGTTCCACAGATGATAGGTGACGAGTTCGGGCTCTTTCAGTTGTGCCCAAAACAACCACCATGAGTAGAAGGTTGCTACAACATCAGTGGATTCACATTTAGTTAGTCGGGAGAAGTTGGGAATTAGATGATTGTCACCTGATTGTAGGGGTTTGAAGGAGTTGTTTTGCATAGAGAGTGCAGAGTAGTTGCAGGATCCGCCACGTAAATGCTGCACCAACATAAACATGGGATTAAGGCTTTTGCTATCCTGCATCAAATTCGTACCAAGCTCTTCCGGTGGAGTGCTACGCTCACAATCAACAAACGGCGGCCGCATAAGAGAAGGCGGCGGCAGTATATGAGGACGAAGATCCTCGTCAGGACGAATAGAAGAAGAAACACCAGAGTACATACGAAGACAATCAGCATAGATCCTACATTTTTTAAATTTGGACAAGGCAGTGGTGGTGATTGATCGGAATACCATTTCTCTGACGAATAAAGAAATCGGAAACCCTAATTCCCCTGCTCGCTCGGTCGCCTCTCTCTCGCTCTCTCCCCCGATGGAATGCAATAAAGAAAAGGTTTATTTGCTCGAATTTTTACCTCCTGTTTTTTTTTTTCTTTTTTTTTTTAATTAAAATACNAAACATGAGGTAAGGTTGGATTGTAAAATATATCTATCATTATATAAAAAGAATAACCTTTTTACAAATTTAGAAACTTTTTCCCGCCAAAATTATTAAATATATCCTACATATAGTAATTGTTGAACAAACTTGAATAGACAAAAACCGTTGTTTGACAATAAATATTTGTTTTTCTTTTTCCTATTTTTAGTATAAATCTACACGAGCTTATCTCTTTTGTTACAAAATCTCATTGCATAAGTCTCACGTCTCATCCCTTATCTATAGAGATTTGAAAAAATAAAATAAAATAGAAACCAATTCATAATTACTAATAGAAATTCATTATCTACTTTAAGAAGGTAATTTTCATCGGTCTAATTGCTAATATTTTTACAAATATTATAAGCTAACCATACAAAAAAGTATAATAATAATTTTGAAATGGTGTGTGATTAAAATTTTATATATTCTTTTATACAAAATAATTTTACATTGTTTGACCCTGAATCTTTAATTTATAATTATTAAGTATTTTTTATCCTCCTCTTTAATTTATAATTATTTTTTTCTTCTTCTTTTTAAATAGGATCAATAGTAGTTTCCACTTCCGCCATTGAGTGACTCAAACTCGAGGTCTATTTATAATATTGTTAATTTAATATTATTCCCGTGCATCGCACGGAGTACACACTAGTTCTTTTTTGAAAAGATTTATTAAACTATAGGAACTAATCCATCAATACACAATTCTTATCATAGTCATACGAAATTTTTAACCCTCATATTGACTTCATTTTTTAATTTCATATTTGAATAACATTTGTGGAAGCGAGATTATTCAAATACTAAAGTAAATATATCTAACAATAATTTCATTATGAAAAAGATCAAAATAGAAATGATATGGAAAAAATAATCATGTTTGAAAATAATCACCCCTATATATAATTCTCGAATGCATTGAGCCCTAAGTGGTAGGTTCGTGTGCTTCGTAAGCTTATTTAGTATAAATTGGTGCTTCGTATTGACAGATGTTTAGATTTGGTTTTAACTATCAGAGCATCTCCAATGTATAAATGTTGTTATCACATAAATTTTGAAATTTAGATGGATTGTGAACCACATAAGATATTTGTTAAATTCACAACTTTAAATCTAAAAATTATCTATATTGCACATTGTGATAAAAAATAATATTGTCCACTTGAAAAACAATAAAAAATTATAAATAAGAAACAAAAATTAAATAAATAATTAGATATTTTAAAAATGCCTAATGGGGAGAAAATACACTACCTTTACTTGATTGGTCATTTAATCACGACCTTTAAACCTTGACAAATAAATACATGACTTTTACTTTCCTACAACCTAAGACACACTTTTAACAGCTGTCAACAGAAAGTTGACGTAGAAATTTTTTTAACGACCACGTCACCGAGAAATCTGACCTTAGGAATTACCATAAACTATTTTAGTTTTCTTTTTTTCTTAAGTTACATAAACTACTCTTATCTTTTTTATTTAATTCATATATTAATTATTATATATATGTATTTTTTTATTTTTAAAATGTTATAACTATTTTATTTTTATTCTATTTTTATCTACTAAAATTATCATATTTTAAAGATTTTCGATTTGACATCCATATTGCATATATAAAATAAAAATAATTTCATCTATATTTATAAATAAAATCATTTTTATCATCAACTCAATTTAAAAAACATCATATAACAACATAAAATATTTTATAAAAGTAACAAAAAAATCTAATTCATTAATACACCATAAAATAATCATTTTATTGTTTATTTCCTTAAATTTTTGATAAAAAATGAAAATTAAGCATTACATAAATAAATTTTAAGAAATATATAAAAATCTATTTCTCAGTTTAAATAGATTATATAAAAATTTGAATGTTATTATGTAATTTAAAATAGTAAATATAAAAGAATATCATCGCCCCTATATATAATTCCCGAATACGCTGAGCCTAAGTGGCATGCCCGTGTGCTTCATAAGCTTATTCGGCATAAATTGGTGCTTCGTATTGACACATGTTCAGGTTTGGTGTTGACTATTAAGCTTGAGAATTATCATAAATTATTTTAGCTTTTTTTTTTTCTTCAGTTACTTACTTTTTTTCTTTAATTCATTTATTAATGATCATAAATATGTATTCTTTTTATTTTTAAAACCTCATAACTTTTTTGTTTGTATTTTATATTTTATATATGATCTGCCAAAATAATCATATTTTAACGATATTCGATTTGACATCCATATTGCATATATAAAATAAAAAATAATTTCATCTGTATTTATAAATAAAATCAATTTTATTGCCAACTCAATTTCAAAACATCATATAATAATATATATTATTTTATAAAAATAATATAAATTTAATTCATTAATACACAATAAAATAATCATTTTACTGTTTTTTCCATAAATTTTGGATAAAAAATGAAAATTAAGTATTACATAAAATAAATTTTAAGAAATATTATAATATTATTTCTCAATTTAAAATAGATTATATAAAAAATTGAATGTTATTATGTTATTTAACATAGTAATTATGAAAGAATATCATAATAAAATATGATAAAATAATTTTATATTTCATAAAGTTAGAAAATAATACATTTCTACGTAAATTCGAAATTATTAATTATATGAATTTAAAATACTTGAAAAATTAATAAATGTGAGACACTGACTCTATAAATAAAAAATATAATACAATACAATAAAACTGTTTTGTTTTAAAAAATGAATTAAATATATGAATTTGTAAATAATATCATCTTTATACATATATAATTTAAAAAATATAATTGCAAATATCTTTTTTTGGCAAATTTAGTGTAAAAATACGAACGCCATTTAAATTATATATCACTTTGTTAGTTATTTATTATTGTTTCATATTCATCATACATAATTTCACAATAAAAATATTATTTTAATTTCATTGTAAAAATATTAATATATTTAAGTACCCGTGTACTATTGTACTATTAATTAAATATAATAAAATAATTTTGTTTTTCATAAAGTTAGAAAATAATACATTTCTACGTAAATTCTAAATCATTAATTATATGCATTCAAAATACTTGATAAATTAATAAACGGTGAGACATTGACTTTATAAATATAAAATAATCACAAAACAATAAAACTAGTTTTGTTTAGAAAGAAAATGAATCAAATATATGAAGTTGTTAATAATATTAGTTTATACATATATAATTTTAAAAATATAATTAAAAATATCATTTCTGGACGTCTGCCCAGTGCCAGAAGGTCAAGGAAGTTGGTGACACCTAATGATGACAGGGAAGCCGACGATCGGAGCCCCGGTGAACGGCGGCCGTAACTACCTCGATTTACTATATTACAATTACATTACACTGGTTTTTTTTATTAAATTTTATTTTTCTAAAAGAAAATATTTTGTTGGGAATGAACAAGATATTAAGGAATTGTCCACTATATCAATTGTACTTAAACTATTAGATAATCATGGTCGACCATAACATCACTGTTCCCACCGCTATTCCAGAAATGTACACCTGGCCGTATAGAGATTGAAAAAGGAATTGATTTAATGACAATCAGAATCTTTATGGGATTCCCAAAGTTACTACTAATAAACCACAAGCACAGTCTAAGTTTTAAAAAAACGGATAAGGTTGGTCCCATCCGATCTAAACAATCTTGTTTTCTTGAACATGAAGAAATAATGAAACCATTGCAATTGCAGGAAATACTAGCCAATAATATTCCTATATACTCTAGTAATATTCCTATATAATAATGTATAGTAAAGATGTTCTCTTGCTAATGTATTGTAAAAATGTTCTCTTGCCAAGACTTTTTTCCTCTCGGAATTTGATTGATTTATTGATTCCTTTTTTACAGAAGGAAGAAGAAAACTTACAGAAGGATCATCGATAAGATCGATATAAATATGAGCGGACATATTCTTTCAATGAAAAATTCCAAAAAAGGGGTAATTTACAAATTCTTCGACGTACCATTAGTGTGAATATTGGCATGTTGGGAGCGATAAAAGAAATAATGGTACTCTCTAGTAATATCGCAGCTGTCTTCCTGCTGCATTGTCATCATATCATATTATCATACCCTTCTTCAAATTCAATCAATTCACCCGCCATTACTTCATCAAATTTAGTGTAAAAATACAGGAATCATTTGAATTAATTATCACTTTGTTAGTTATTTATTATTATTGCATATTCATCATACATAATTTCATAATAGAAATGTAAATTATTTTAATTTTTATTGTACAAATATTAATATATTTAAGTACTCATATAGTACAGGGGTATTGTACTAGTATACAAATAAACAGATGTTGAAATGCTGAAAAAGAGTTATCATATTTTTATTTATTATCTGTCCATTTGTAAAATTATTTAATGTATATGTTCATTATCGATAAATTATAATAATTTAAAGAATTTTTATTCTTTTTATATTATTAAATAAAACTTAAGAAAAAATTACATTGTTAAGATGAATTCACCAACTTCATTTCATTCATTAATTGAAGGAAAAAAATACATGTTACTATTTCAATAAATATTTTATGATGAAAAGGTAATGTTTGTGATGATGATAATAATAACAATAATAATTATAATAATAATAATAAATTATTCATCTTTCTCTCAAACTCTTCTCTTCATCTAGTTTAGTTGAAAGTGGCACTACCCCCGTTGGATATGTGCCACATACCACAATGTTTTGTAAAAATATGTTTTTTCATTTTTTTTTATTGAGGTATGTGGAAACCTTTGTTGAATGTGTTCCACATTTCCCATGTGTTGTAAAAATATGCGTTTTTCAACTTTTTTTTTTTTTATTTTNGTTGGGGTAGACAGTACACATCCAACGAGAGTGTGAGTGCAACCCATACGGGTGGCATCCAGATGAAGGGAAGAGTTTGAGCGAAAGATGAATAATTTTTACTTTAAAATAAGAGGGTTTGGTGCATTTTTCAAAACACAGTGGAGAAACGCGTAGATTTCGTTAAATTCAGAGGAGTTTGGTGCAATTTACCCTCTTTCACTTGGTAGTTGGTACCTGCGATTTAGGACATCATAAAAGAAAAGTTTCCGCCTACAAAGTGAGGGCTTTTCTATGGCATTGTTTGATCAAATATTTGATAAGGTTAAAAAGTTGACACCACTGAACAAAGACCTGAAAACCAAGGGAGGACAGGACAGTGCCTTTCAATACGAACAAGTGCATTTCACTCCATAAATCTCAAAACCACCCAAAACATAAGCAACGTCGTTCTGTATACTTCCAATTCGAAGAAAAAGGCAGTCGAAGGACTTTTTAGTCCATCAATAACTCACCACGTGTCAGCCATACAAATCCATACATTTTTTCTTATATGTATAAGGGACACAGTCGATAATAAGTAGTATGGATGGCTGCTTCAAGAGATATTTGTTTGGTAGTCAGTGGTCTGTTAGCTGATTGCATTAGCTGTTTTGACCAGCGAATTGCGTTGGCTGTTTTGACCAGCTGATCGTGTTAGCGGTTTGTAAAAAAGTATTTGGTAAAATTAACTATTTTAATTAGCGGTTAACATGTAAAATTACTTATAAGGCCATTAAGAAACTTTGTCATTCTAATTTATATTGAACTTATAATTATTTAAGAAATAAAAATAATTAATATTTTAAAGATTTATTAAAGTGAGTTAAATATGATAAAAATAAGAATAATAATAAAATGAAAATATTTCATAATCAAGTAAATAAGTTTTATAAAAAGTATAAATAAGAATATAGTAAAAGAAAAGGTTTCAAACCATGTCACTTGAGAATATGGATGCTCAAATATTAGAAAAAGAGAGATTAATTAAGTAATTTTAATTGTTTTATGCAAACAATCCACTCCAAACGCTGCTACTTCCACCGTTTCTAATTTGGAGGTTTCGCCATCAAAAAGCTAACTTGAACAGCCATTAACCAAACATATTTGTAAGCTTATTGATAAAGTCAAAAAAGCTAAAAGGCCAAAAAAGCTGATTTTTTGTCAAAAAGCCATTTACCAAACATGTGGAAAGAGATGAATGAATGGGAGAGCAAGAGAGTGCAGCCTAGTTGTGCCCACTGTCTTCAGCTTTTTCTTGATGGCTTATTTTTCACTTCAAAAGTGGTTCTTCAGTTTTTGAGTCGCATCATTGGTCTTTCAAAACTAAGGAATAGAAAAGTGATTATAATTATGGATGCAATCCAGGACATTTTTGGTACCCACCAATT